ACGCATTCGATTGGTTTCGCGCGCTTCACAATGCCGCGCTCGTACAATGCCGACCTGTTTCAGAGACTTTGTTGGCCGAGCAGCGGGCGCGCGACCGTTTTGTAAAAACTATTATATATCTCGTTGTTTTTATCGCTCCGTCACATTGGTCCACGCGCCGAAAAATGCCGAAGCTCCTCCGCTGACTCTTTCTCTCTCTCCCGAATGACGCCCTTTGTGCCGAAAAGGCATCCTGACGCGCGCGCACATATTGGCAATGAAGCGTGCGCGCGTCAGGACGCGTAGGAAGAAAAAAAAGTTATAATACGTGAGAGGCAAGACGAAACGAGTTAGACCGCGGCGATGATGATCGAAGCCTGCTGCAGAAATAACGCGCCGTTCTGTATTATATAGAGAAGTGCGCCGTGTGTTTCTTTTCAATTTCGCCTTCGATACTCGATTCTATATATAGGTAGCCGGATTGTGTTTGCAAATATAGCCAGGCCGTGTGTGTGAGATAAGTACCCCGGCGGATAAATCATAATAGATTTCGATTGATGCCGAGTCCAACAGTAGCTCGAGTGCGAGAAGCAGCTTCTTTTTCATCCTCCTCAGCAGCAGCAGCAGCTTCTCGACACTACCGTGCGTGAATCGAAATCAATGAGTCGAGATCTCAAGGACATGCTTACACAGTGATGCAGCACGACGACTTATTGCTCCTATTACATCGTGTATATAACTGCTTCGATCTCGCGAGCGTCGAGCTTTCAATAGATATAGCATGCGTTGGTGCTTTGAATTTCGTCACCAATTCGCGATGCGCAATTCAAAACTTTTTATAAAAAGCAAAATACGCAACAATTTACAGATAGCACAAAAGATCAATTTAAAGAATCGTCAACTCTTAAATGCCTACGTTCACAAAAGCACGACGCGTACTATATCTCCTCTTTCTTTTCCGCGCGTGTGTACGATGATATGTAGAGGTATATACTATATATATATCGCGAGTGTTATATAGCTACCGGAGCTCGTGCACGCGCGGCACAAAACAAAGCTTATTATACGCGCGCATATATTTTAGTTGTTCGACGACGACGGCGGCGGCGGCACACCACTACTACTACTGCAATAATAATACTTGCGACGACGATTGGTCGCGCGACGAATCGTGGCGCGTGTCAACCTTGTCGCGACCTTGAAACCACGCGACGGCCGACGACCACATTATATACCACTACATAGCAGCGCGCGCCAGTCGCTTTATTGAGCTGAGAGAGCGAGTAATATGTGCCAAAGATTCATCGACTGACGACGACGATGCCTGCACTCGGCGGCGGCGGCGGCCACGGCGACGCACGTACAGTGATAATAATAGCATTATATAACGCGCCGCCGATGAATACATACATTTTGCCAGCGCGTGCATACGTGTGTGTGCATGAGCGCGACGATTTACGTACACACCAACGCGCTTATTATAGTACGTGTAGATGCTCCCGCGTAGCTCGCGATGTGTCCGGGATACATATACTTTAATCCGTATAACGTGTATCAGTATATACGTGCACACACACACAGAGGTGGAATTTTTATCTTTGCGACGCGATCGTTTTCGTGGTATATATCGTTCTCGACGCGTGCGGTGCTGCTGGTGTGCGAGTTGGCGCGCGGCACACCGATTACGATCGGCTGCTGCTCCGAAGCTCGTGCTCGCGCGCGCGCCTGCCGCCGCCGCTGCCTTCTTCTTTGTTGTTCGCGCCCGCTCGTGCGCGCGAGAGAGGCTCTTTTGACATTCCAATATAATATATTGTATTATAATACTTATATGTTATAAAGCCCACCTCCGCACATACACACGCAGACACGAGTATGCACTCGCGCTATATAATGCATAGAGTGCATGTTCATCCTTTTTAGGCTCTCTCTCTCTTTCGCAACAGTACATATAAGATGATAATGACCCGTTTGTGTGTAGATGAGCGCGTATATGTAGTAGCCGATTTTGCGTGCAGTATTAAATTGGCTTTTTAACGCGTACTCGCTCAATGGGTGATTCAATAAGAGCGCAGCCCCGAGTCACAGTTATTTTATTGGCTTGCCGGTATATAGGTATAAAAGCGAGCAGTACCGATCGTGAAATACTAAAAAAAACACTGTCTAACCGGATAAAATTCGGAGTATATCAATTTTGTCGCCTTTTTGATTCATTACCAATATGTATGCATAAACAATTGATCTGCAATCGTCGTAAAACTCGGGAACAATCGAGAAGCTCGGAGCTGAATGAATTAACGCTCACGTATGTACGTTTTTTTATCGCGTGCGTACGAGAATAGCTATTAAACTGCTAACGGCAGTCAACATTTTTAGCTCAAAGGACAGAGCGAGCGTAATTTCTTATTGATGAAAGTCTACGTGAGGGAATAATTGAATGTAATGTCGCACGCGTCGTATCGCAAATATTATATATAGTTGAAAACGTCTGTGCCTGTGGAAACATTATTATCCGGGGGGGTCGCGCGTTCTGGTCTGCGTATATGAAAATGATAATGATGCGCGATTAGCCGCCAGAAAGCGTGATACATGCGAATGTTATAAAAGAAAAATATAACGAGCCTCGTGTATGGACTGCGACTGACACGTGGTTTTTTTTTCTTTAAGTAGATATGTAATAGAAGCACAAACATTTATTCCAATTACACAGACCATGCGAACTCGTGTGTGCGTTTATTAAAAGAAATTTAGTATATAGCAGATATATCGAGTTTATGTATATGAGTGACGGCTCGATCTATTTCTCAAGCGTGCTGCGCGTTATCGTTTCGGGAGGTCAAGTTTTGCGCTTCGATACAATCTTTTTAAAATTCGCGTCGTCGAGCGCGCCCTAGCTATAGCTGACGCGTGGGGCTATTTCAAAAGAAAATCGCGCTCGTTGTAAGAAGATCACGAGAAATAGCATCGTCAAAAGCGTTCTGATGAATCGCGAGGCTCACGAAGCGCATCATTGAGTCAAATTAATAAAACGTTGGTGATTGAGTCGAGAGCAGCCACATAACGACGAGAGAGTTCAAACGAGCGCAAAATCGTGCACGTAGTCTCGAGTATACCCATAACAGCCGCAGATCGTCTCATCGTCTCTTCGAGTGCAGCGCGCAGCATGACGATCATTGATTATATCGAATGAAACTTTTTTTGCAATCGTCGCTGTAGCACGTCGTCGGTGCGAGCCCATGAAATATCATAACAAATATTATAAGAGCGAGAATGCGCGCCACTAAACATTCATTGTAAATCGAATGCGCGACTCGATGCATTAGGGCACACGAGTTGAATCATGTCGTGCGAGCGTGAATGTGTGTATACCACGATCACATCGTGGCGTTTTGTTGATACTTTGGCTGTGTGTACAATCACACACACATACAGAAATTTATCTGTTGGAAGTCACGCGTGCATCTGCACGCGCACGTATGCCACCGAGTGAGCGTACTTAAATATGTACACACATGTGTCATCGTTAAGTCAGACGCAATACACGAGCGATCATCATCGACGAGAAAGCTTTACGTGTAAATATAATCATATCGTCTTCGCGATATTATAAGTCGGCGCGGAGACGTTGGCGCGTTGGCGCTTATCAACAACTGCGCCGCGAGTCGCTGCCGCCGCCGCCGCCGCCGCTTCGTGTGGCATGATGCGACGACGACGACGTAGCCTCGCGTATATGATATGCGTGTTCGCGAGCGATATACATACATATGAAGAGTTAACAAGTGCACAAACGTGCCACGGCTAGTGCGAGCGAACGCAAAAGTTAACAGCAGCGCGCGTGAGGCATTATATACTTTTATAACGATGGCTGTAGTAGCCCCGCAACCAACGAGTTTCACGAGACTGAAATTTGTATACTCTTAGTTTGAAATTCATAGCTATTTTACTAATAAATGGATTCGTAACACATTGTGTGAAATTTACTTTAATGTGCGATTTTCACAAAATTCATTTAAAAACGATGTCTTTATCAATTAAAATTTGTTTAAAGTGTAAATAAAAGATGAACAATTTTCAAAATTCCTTGCTCACTCCATGACTCACGACAGCGTCAAATTGAGATCCCGAAAAGCTGCCCCCGCGAAACTAACTCGTGACTTATTTTTAAGATAGGATTACTTCGAGACTCGATAGAGCTTGAGTGGAAAATTTTTCGTATATATCATCGAGCGTCTAATTACTTTTATTTTTCCACGATTCTTATGAGTTTGAATTTTTCACCAAGTTATTTCAAAAGATTTTCTCACTTCGCTCTATGGTTCGATTTTCAATATAATTGTGTAATTCATTAAAGTATAATCAGGACTACAGTAGAAAATTATGTTTGATTCGAGTCAATTTTACCCGATAGAAATTTTACAAGTCCCGATAAAAGTTCACCGAAAATTCAGTAGGTGGCAGCACATCTTGACGGCCCGAATTTTTGGACAGTGCGTTTCGACAATGTTTTCGAGTGCGTTATGAACACGTAAGGCCCACGCCAGTTTGGGCCTTATCCTGGTAGATGGCAGCACTCCACTCGTTGAAACAGCGAGTACTCATCTTACAAAGATACGCCTTATTGTGCATGAAAAACTTATTGTCGCGCTTGGTGTCGAAAATTTGCCACTGTGCGACAGTAAAATTGCACAAAATTACAATTATTTTAATATTTTTTACTCTTAATTTTTTTTTTTTTTTTTCAAAGGAAATTTTCATGTTCGAAAATTCAAGACGTAATTATTTCCAAAAATAACGAAAATGAATCTAATATGAATTTTTTCCAATATTTGTTTTCATTCATTATTCAATTCTATTTAACGAATTATTTATTCTCTTGACTCAGCTTGGCCAATAATATTTTTCAAGCTCCAATTACGAGAATCATTATATTTTTGGTGATGTAAAGGTTATATTTTGAAAATAATAAGAGATTGTTTTAATTTATAGAGATCAATCTTTATTTTTGATACTCATATATATATGTGTTTGTTTAATATTTAGCTTTTGCATCTATTCATCATTGATAGATATTTAATATTATCATATAATATAATATATATTTTTATTTATATATAATACAGTATTTATTTGACTTGCGTTCTATATAATTTTTTTCTGACACACGCATCCATTCATTCGCTATTTTACAAAAAACTAAATTTACACGTGACGAAGAGATAATTTCGCTTCGTCTGCTCGCTTTTTACTAACGTTAATATCAAAATTGGGATTCGCAGACAGGTATATTTTTTTCAAGAAAAACAGAAATGGAAGACAACGGTGATTCTTGTTGCGTAAGGCACTTATTAAACAAAAATTAATAAATTATACCTCGCTATATTCTTACATATTTCGCTTCGCAGCGATTACAAAATTAAAAAAATAGTAGGATAAGAGCGCGGTGATAGCCGAGAGAATCGAATCGACACTCGAAAGTAGTTGTTACATATCACGATCAGAGAATCCTAGTCCGAAAACTTTATCTCCTCAAAAAAAAATTTCTCTCCGTCGCTAGAGGCCTAATTTTAACGAGGATACTGTCTCTCGCAGTTATATTTACAATATTATAAAAGGCACTGTTTTTTTTTAGGCTCCAGCTATACATCGCACTAGCCAACGGAGAGAGGCTTAAAATTATTAATTAAGCGAACGTCTACTCGGGCATCTATCGTGTTTGAATCTCACAACTTGTTCACACTTGCTTAAGAACTATATTTACACTCGACGCTTCATCCTACTTTTTTCCAAACACTCTTCGCACTTATATTGCTAGTTTTTAGTCTGCATCTTCTTGCATCGAAAAAAATTATTTCGAGTTGCCGCCGAAGCCGAACAGAGCACTTGTCGCTGTAACTCTGCTGCCGGCCGCCCGTATATCGCTGCTGCTGAACTTGAACGCCTTATGCGTAGTAAAATCGAAAATCACCCGAGTTTTTTTTGTCTCGTCTTTTAAAAAAAGAACGAGAGATCACAATGTAGCTTTTCCTATGAACTAATTTTCGGTTGCATTGGTTGTTGTTCTTGTTGAATCCGGGTAGATATCGATTTACCACGGCCTCCAGCACTTTTCTTCGATGGCTTCTTTGATCACGCTCTTCCTCATGACCAAGCTCAAAGGCTTCTGCAGCGGTGGGCTGAAGATTCTCTGATCGTATTCGGGATCGCTGTGATAGCCGGCGGAGGACGGAGACGTCGAGGCGTCGTGGCTGGGCGCGGGCGAGCGCGACTCCTCGCAGTGATAGCTGCTCGACGATTGCGAGTCGAAGGCGACGGGGCTGGCTGCCGATGTGGAGGTTGACATGTTCGACGAGACCGACGAAGAGGCCGAAGCTGTGCTGGCCGTTCTGTCTGGGATGGGGATGAGCGTCGGCAGAGGCGACGATGGTGCTGGCGACGAAGCTGGTGTCGGGATGGTGCTGGGTGGTGCGATCGGCGATGATTTTGGGCTACCCGCGACGAGCGCGATGCTTCCGTTGGACAGTCTAGTTGGCACGAGCTGAAGAGATGCGCCGTTTGGAGTCATGTAGAGGATGCTGTTGGCGGGTTGGGTTTGAACTTGCACTTGGGCGGGGTTGTCGCCCTGTGAGCTCGGCAAGATGTGAACTTGCAGGTGAGCGCCGGCGGTCTGAATGCTCTGTTGCGTTGGGACAGTTTGATTTCCATTGGCATCGGAGGAGACGACGACGTTCGACAGATGAGCCATAAGGCGACGTTTGGCTGCGGAGTCGAGGCCGGGGAATCGGCCGATCTCGCTGACGCACTCGTTGTATCCGGCGCGGAACTTGTTGACCACTGTGGGGTCGGCCACTTGGGTAAGGGCACTCTGTTGACGCTGAAGAGACTCCAAGTGTTTGACAGTCATCTCGAGGATATCTGCTTTTTCCAATTTCGAATGTCTGGCTGGCTGTAATCAGAAAGAAAAACGGTTCATAAGACACTTGTTGCTTCATAGCAATATGCATGTTTGTGAATTTTTGCTGCAGCTAAGCGGCAATAATATTTCCAATAGTAAAGGACACTTACGTCTTTTTTCATTGCGTCGAGGATGAGAGACTTGAGCTCGTTGAGACAATTGTTGATGCGAGCTCGGCGTCTCTTCTCCATGATTGGCTTGTTGCTTCGTCGATTCTCGCTGGACCTCCTCGGTGTCGGGGAGGTCGTCTGCGGTGGCGAAGCCGGCTGCACGGCCTCTTGGGGCACGTGCTGAGACGGCGATGCGACACTGACGGTGACAGCACCCGCTGGCATGGTTTGGACTCCAGTAACCATTTTGATATTAATAATGTTGAACGAAAATTAACTCGTTTGTTTATTCACTTTGTTATGATGTATTGGATACACTTGTGTTGTGATATCCAAACTCAGCACTGTAACACACTTCACTTTAATACTCGTTGCACGAGTATATGTTGTAGTATGTGTATACTAGACTGTGCGCTAACACACTCGCGTATAAGAGAGAGCTAGAGAGAACAGGAGCAGTGCGACTGTTCGCTGCGAGCGCTGAGACTTGACTGACTCTGTCGTTCGGCTCTCGCACGGGTTCTGATTGTCGAGACTCGAGAGAGAGTAAGAGAACGGAGTCGTGCCGCCGTAGCCGCTGCGCTCGTGCCAGTGTATAGCTATGTAGCGGCAGTGGTGGGGCAACGCGTGTGTAGTGCCTTGTGTGCTGCCGGCAAGGTGGGGGCAAATGATCGGACGCGTTCTCTCTCTCGCTCGCTTTCCTCTCCCCTTCGAAAATTTCGGAGCGCGCGCGTGCTACACACGCAAGCCAGCCAGCTGTATCAAGCGTGGGATACTTTTGGAAGGATGAGCATGTGCACCCTACTCTGCTGCTGTTGCTTCCCTTCTCCCCTTCTTAAGGAGAGACATACGCAAGCCGAGAGAGAGAGAGAGAGAGAGAGCCCATGCATACAAGTGCCTGTATGGGTATGTGCGCGTATTGCATTATACATGTACCGAGGCCTATACACACACACACTTACGAGTATGTATGGACGAGGAGCATAAGGATAGACCCCCGTAGCGGGCTGCGGGCTGCACGCCGGTGGCAGTGTCGATTATACACACCATTCACGCTGCTGCTGCTGCCGTATGCAGCGTACATATAGGGCCTTATGCAGTGTATAGATATAGTGCGGTACGGGGTCGGTCGGGGCCTCGGCGTACAAGACGCGCAAGGAAGTGGTGGGGGCGCTGGGAAAAAAAAGAGAAAAGAAGCCGTTTTGAGGCGATCTCGCGCGCGCGGACTTATACTAGCATGTGCTCAGGTCTGACCGCGCGTCCGCAGCGCGTGTCGTGACTGATGCTGCTTCGCTACTGCTGTGTAGAGGAGGGCAGAATTATAACAGGGAGGGAGTGTGGGAAAAATCGGCACGGTGAACGCTCGTCTCTCTCTCTCTCGGCTGCCGGCTGCACGCCACACGAGTGCCTATATACAAGTATTATATACACACACGCACATATCTATACATAATTCTCGCACACACGCACAATATATAATACGCACGCAGCCGTTCGGCGCGCGCGCGCGTGTACGTACGTACGTTTATATTATGAGTATAAACACTTGGGCTCGTAACTAGATCTCAGCCGGTGCGCGTCCAATAAACGATCATCGCGATGACGCAGCTTCCGTCAGCGCGAGCTACGTTCCCACATAGTAGAGGCATGTCTCCTAACAATAACAATATCATGTGCTGCGGGGCTTGGTTGTACGTGTATACACGCCGTATGACTGACTTTTGCGCGGGAGCGTGATTGCAAAAATATACGCTGTGTAGGCCATGTACCATATAAGCGCGCGCGAGCTGACTTTTTGCTGTTTTTTTTTTACCCAACGATGAGTGAGCTGGTTATGAGTTGTTTCGCGTGTAGAATAAAGCACGTATTGACCCGTCTCATAGTCGAGTACTTGTACACAACAGGTGAACGATTAAAGAGCATAAATCGCGACTTTTAATGCGGTAGCAGCCGAGTCGAGTGATCTCACTAATACAAAACGGAGCTCTCGAGAATCGTTAGCGCATTTAAATGACGCACGCGTTGCGTACAATACACTTCAAAAGTCTTATCGGTTATCGCGAGCTATGGGCTTTAAACTTTCATAATCGGATTCGTAGTAGTTTTAATAGCTACCAAATGTTGAGTCATCTACGTTCATTTATTACGAACAACAATTTTGAGACAAAAAAGTAACGAATAAATAATGAGATTACACGCGTTAGTCTGGCCCTGCATTAAAAATAAATTCTGCATCGATTCGTGAACTTGGCGCGCGGAGAGAGACTAATTATTTTGACCTACAAAAGCGGGCGTACTTTTGGGGACAAGCGGGACGCCGACGATGATCGGTAAAAGCGGATAATGCATCGCACAAGCGCGAGAGCAGAATCTCTCGGTGTGCGCTGGGCAACAACTGTTTTCTTACAAGTTAAAAGAGGGGCGTTGCACACGCGCCACATCTCACCAGGTGTAATGCTACGAACTGCTGCTGCATCGCTCCGAAAAAAATCCCACGATCTCTTTGAGTCAGAGGCCAGCAGCGCGCGCGCGCGGATAAAGGAGTGTGCGGTATATGTATACGTTATGTATATATACACGGCAGTCAAGCTTGTTATGTATGTATTATTACTATATACACTTATGAAGAGAGAAGCAAGCTGGCAAGAAAGAGAGAGAGAGAGAGAAGAGCATCGAAAATAGCCAGCTGTCGCGCGCGCCCATACACTTACACATACGAGGGACCGGTGACGTTATGTACGTGTGTATATATACAAAATACGTATACATACACAGACACTACAGAGCCAAGAAGAGTATGAGATCGTGAGAACCTCGTCGGCGCGATTCTGGCACGTGCCTCGTTCCTCCTCTCTTATTCACGCGGGCCGGCTGCGCTCTCACGAAATCATGCGCTGTATATATATGATCGCATGTCTGTATATGATATTGGCCTCTTCCTTTTGGTTCAAACGTACTCTCTCACACACGCGGACAGTATGTGAGGCACACACACACACACACGCTCGGACTTACTGTCCGCATAAGGCTGCCGCTGATATATACTGTTGCATTAATCAACGGTTTTGAGGGATTTTCGCATGCTCCGTAATGCGGGCACGTGTCCGCGATTCCTGTCTTTCTATTATGCATATAGGTACATGTAACGTAAAACGACTCGACTCGACTCCTGACGCACAGATAGAGTCCAGTGTATACAACGAGGGGGCAATGATTTTGTTTAAATGTCACTCGCACTCGCCAAGTTTTGAACTTTGCTTGACGAGGCAGAAAGTGACTACGACACCTGCGCTAAAGCGACGAGACTTCTTTCAACCCTTTTGAATGTAGGGGTGTTCGTGGTATATAAATATGAGCCACGAGTTAGATTTGCGCTTTGCAACAGGTGATTTTCGCGGAATTTATTAAATTCCATTTGACGTTGAAAATAACAATACTATTGTTTTACGGAATCACGAAAAATTATGTCCTTTTTTTAGTTTATAAAATAAAACCCGAGCTGTACACAGAGTTCAAACACGATAAATTGATTCGTTGTTTTAATTTCATTTTCATTATCGAATAACAATGACCCTTGTTCACAAGATATTTCTTGTTAACTTCAACGAGTGTAAACTATTTTACAAAAAAAAAAAAATCTGTTTTTCAAAAACGAATACACAATATGTAAACATGTTTGAAGATACGTTTTTTTCTTCCTTTTCTTTGGTTTATACATAAATTTTTTGAAAAATTTTTTGGGTGTAGTCCGATTAATTCAGTTTAACAGTAATCAAAATTAATCGCAATATTTTTTAGAAATATGTATTCGTAAGTTATAATTTATTTTAGGCGCGCTTAGTTTTATAATTTTTCCATAAAGGGGATACTAAATGAGTGAAATAATCTTTAATGTTTATGTTGGAAAGAGCTGTGACAAGTCCACTATAGAGAGTAAACGTTGGAGGCCCTTGAAATTATATATCATGAAAATTGCTATGATCTGTAGCCCTCTGCAACCCTGAGAACATCTCTAATACTGCAATTTGTACTATAACTTATTTTAGGCACTGCAAAAATGTCCTTTATAAACAATCGATATTTTAGATGACAAAATTCGTGAAATTATTCAGATTGATAAATCGTCACTAGATGTCAAAGAAAGAATTTGATAAATCGTCAGTAGATGCCAAACTCGCAAGTGTCAAGATATGTTTAAGAATGCAATATAAACATAACTTACATGAAAAGAATGTTTTTATTATTCATTTCATCGCTCACTATTTATTTTCAAGTTAAAAAAATCGTAACAAATAATTATGTGGACATTTTTTTTATGTGTCGTGGAAATGGTCTCAATAGAAAAGAGATATTCTGACATAAAAAGGGAAAATTTAAAGGTACTCTAGTGTTCGTTAATTTTCTTTAATAAAATATCTTTCCAGTCTAGGTCAAATTTTAGTAAAACATATTTCGAATATATTTGTAAAAATTATTTATATAACAGTTCAATTGTTAACGACTTGGAAGTAATTCATACTAAATCTCTAACAAAATCGTAATTTAAATTGATTTACATAAAAGTATCCAAGTATGGAATGATGGTCAGATTTTGGCGGATGTTCAAGTACCCATTAAAATATATCATTAGGTAATCAGTGAGGTATATAAGATAAGACATCTATTTTTCGATAAATTGATTTTAATTAGCGTATCATTGCCCAATTATGAAAAATTGTCTAACGATGCATTCGCAACGATAGCTTTCATGATGGCTTGAAAACATTTGATCACATTCATACAGCATCTATTAAAAATCATTCATGAAGTGGATAAAGACACCTTGAATGAATCGGAAATATTAACTTTTCACGTATAATCGAATCAATAAAAGTTCTTCCCACGATACGTTTGGGAGCGCGCGCGCTTCAATCAATTAAGAGTCATCGAGCTTGTATTTATAAGCCTGTATAAATATTAAAGGAAACACACTTCTGTCTACACCGTCTGGAAACACACATTGCTCCTATGGTCAGGGAGTGGGAATAAAAAATCGGAATTAACGACATAATTGATTCGGCAAGTGAGCACGCAAGGCACTGAGTACGGTGGTGAGAAACACGCTAAAAATGTCGAAATTAACTCATTTTTCTTTACGCTCCGTATCAGCTGCTCCTAAGACGCTGGGCTTCGAGGCTCAAGGAATATATAAGCCTGAGAATGTATACACGCGTTCATTAATATATATCCTTACGTACGTGCGTGTATACAAATATATTCAGTACACAGGTGAGTAAAGTGTAAAAATTGAGGAAGGGAGTTGCGCGGGGAGAGATGGGGGCGAACGCGCGAGAGAGCCTGGGAAAAGAAAAAGATTTGGCGCCGAGTGAATAATAATAAGAAGTTGTACTGTACAGCGAGGAAAGGGAGCTATGCTCGAGTGCCCGTCTTGAATGCGAGTGCGAGTGAGTAAGCGAGAAGCCCCTCAAGAAAAAGGATAGTCGGGGAGAGAGAAAGAAAGACGAAGAGAGGAGACATAAGAC